CCCGGACACCTGAGGGAATCCTGAGGGAATCCTCCCTCCTGCGGGCTCTGCCGAGACCAGGCCGTTCAGGAGGTGTCCTGGGAGCGGTTTTCCCCTCACGATTCATGGTTCGTGCTGAGAAATACATCTGTGGAAAAGGCACCGTAGCTGGAAGTTTTCCTGCGTGAGGCMGACCAAAGTGCTCCCGTCTGGGCTTGGGGCATTATTCACCACCTTTACCATTATTCACCRGTGCTGCCGAGGTTGTGCTCCCATYGTGGTGGCTTTTGCACAAATATGTGGCAAGAGGAGCGCTGGGATCGGCTGAGAAGTCGGACAGGACAAGCTGAAAACCTTTAAACTACCACCAAACCTGCACACAAATGTCTGCTATTACAGTCGGTCAATTTTAGCTTTCTTCATTCTCTTAATGAGTTGATCCTGGCTGGATAACAGGCATCTACCAAAGCCCTTCTATCACTCCCTTCCACAAGTGGACAGGGGAGAGAAAATATAACAAAGGGTTTGTGGATTGAGATGTCTGAGAGAGATTGCTCACCAAATACCATCACAGGCAAAACAGAATTGGGAATATTTACTGAATGTATTACTAACAAAACCAGAGGAGGACAATGCRAAGTGAACTTCAAACACTGAAAAAAATACAGCTAAACTTAAGATTGTTAAGTGGAAAAAAAGTCTCTGAACTTATGAGAATGACCACTYTGATTTTAGAAATTATGTCTCCAATATCTATAACAGCAAAAATTATTACAATAATGAGGGTGATAATTGTTGCAGGAATTCAGGGACTATTATGGCTTCAGAAATACAGTTATTAAAATAATTTGCTGAAAAAGCTTAGGAAAGGAACTCTATTCCACTAAASCCCATCTCAATATTTTCATTAAATGAGCACTAACAGCTGGCCATTCAGTCAATTTGAGAAAAATCAAATTTAGAAAACCACCTCAGAGTCCTGTAACTCATTCTCACTGTTTCATTTTGCTTATTCTTTTGCAWTTCTCTACTAAACACATTTCCTTTCATTAAGAAAAAAAGTCTTGCATTGCTGTAGTGAAGATCCACTGAAATAATGGAAAAAATAAATTCTACATGCAAAACCAGTGCATCCAAAAATCAGAATTAATCTGGGTCACTTATGATCAAGGAGTSTCACTGTAGAACAGAATCTTGGTGCTGCACCCAAAAACTAGAATGCATTTTCACCTTCTTTACCCCACTCCTCCCAATCAGTTGCTTCTTCCTACARTGTTACTACTGCATCACCTCTTACACCAGTTCTTAAAATCTCCTCAMAAACACTGCCCTCAGGCCACTCAAGATGAGTGAGCTGGAGAATTTATGCTTCTTAACCCTTATTTTAGTCAGACTGCTTCTTGGCCTCTTAAAAGATAATTCCTTTATTTTTTTTTCCCACAGGCTTCATGCTCTCTCCTGAAGCACAGGTTGCAATCAGCTCCAAGATCCTATCCTGATACAGAGGAAATTCTGCCTGAACTTGAGGAAGAACTTCTTTACTGTGTGAAAAATCCAGGCACTGGATCATGTTGCCCAGAGAAATTGTGGAATCTCCCTCACTGGARATACTCCAGAACTGTCTGGATACAAWCCTAYGCCATGTGCTCCAGGATGACTGCATAAGCTACCAGTGTTGGTGTTAAGAGATCAGCTGTGATGAATTAAATTMATGTGTAAAAAGTCTATTAAACACTTGAAGGACTAATAAAAATAGTAATTACAACAAGATATTAACAGACAGTGTTCTTTATATAGACAAAATGGAAGGTGTTTTACTCTGTCTTGAAATTTCATAAAGAAATGTGCTGSGTTTCGTTGGGGTAAAGTTAATTTTCTTCATAGTGGCTAGTTTTTTCTTCATGGGGCTATGTTTTGGGTATTTTATAGCAAATATATTTGGTGCATGATTGSTGCTGAAGAACTCTGGGGCAGAACTATGATTATCTAAATGGTGCTTTAATGGGACCAGTCCTTCAGTTGTTTCTGAGATCATTGATTTCCAGCTTCCTGTTTAATGATTACTATTATAACAGTAATCATTAAAATAATATTGGAATTTCTGTTCCCATGAAAATTTCTAAATATTCCTTCTATATATTAACTGGGAGGAAGGCTGTTTCCATAAATGAAGAGCCCACAGTGCCACCTTCWTATAAAGTATGGAATTCTTGGCACTGAATGCAAAATCACCTAAATATTAACGTTATTAAAGCTGACACAGTCCCTACATYTTCAGACTATTAATGTAATTTAAATTACCACAGGTCACTTTTGCAAACTTAGATTCATTATCTTACCTTGAAATCTCACCTCRAAGTGTGGCCTCTTGTAGAAGTTCYRAATCAAAGCTSTTTCTGTAGCCACCAAAGAAAGACAGGCATGTCAGGTGTTAACTCATCCTTCTGAAGAGTGACCCTATCTCTAGTCCTGAGTCTGGACAAGTTCAAGAGAAAAGAATTTCAGCTTTCATGTTCAGGTTGACAGATGAGCTCTGTGTCTCTGCCCACACTGCAGTGTCAGTCAGTATGTTAGAGACTGTTCAGGGGCATGGCTGAGATCCTCCCTGTGTGACAGATTCRGTGAGAACAGTTTGATTTTCATCGTGCTGCTGACAGAATGGTAATGTACACAGGCCTTGAGTCAGGCTTAGGATCCAATATCTACAGGAAGGAAATTACAAATACTGACAAATGTCACAGCCCCTGGAAACCTCTGATACTTCCAGGAAAGTCCTGAATTCCCTCATTCATGCTGGGTTTGGCTGAGACTGAGTTAASTTTCTCTCTAGCAGCTGGCMCAGTGCTGTGTTTTGGATTTAGTATTAGAAAAACATTGATAATAATATATCAATGTTTTAGCTGTTGCTAAGTTGTGTTTACTCTAAATCAAGGATTTTTGTCTTCCCAAGCTCTGCCAGTRAGCAGGGGCACAAGAAGCCAGGGGAAGCACATAGCCAGGACAGCTGATCCAAGTTTGCCAAAGGGATAATCCACACCACAGAATGTTWTGTTCAGTAAATAAACTAAGAGGATTTGTCCAGGAGCTGCCAATGACTGTCTGGGGTCAGCCTGGGTATGAGTCAGCGAGTGGTGAACAACTGTGTTGTGCATCACTTGTTTCTCTTGASTTTTAGCCCTCTCTCTCCTTTACTACTACTGGTAGTAGTATCACAATTTTAAACGTTAAATTGTTCTTATCTCAAGTCAAAGAGGTTTACTTTTTTTGTTTGGATTCTCCTCCCAGCTGAGGTGAGGGGACTGAGCAAACAGCTTTGTGGAACTTGCTGGCTGGGGTTAAACCATGGCACATGCCAAGCAAAACCAAGTGATCAAAGCTATTACAATCGGTTGCAATTCAACCACATGGACACAATGTGAAAACACGGGCTTTATGGAAGTAAATTTTCACTATACAGAGAAAAACTTAGTTCTGTAGCTCTCCAGAGCTCCTGCTTTGTCACTCCACTGTGCCACTGCTGACAGCCTCAGGGCTTTCGTAACTGTAACTCTGTCATCAGAACTGGACTGGGCAAAAGTCCACATTTCCTCACTTCCCATCTTCATCTGATCTGCCTTCTGTGCTCCCTCTGCAGTACCCAAACAGATCTGTATCCCTGGGGGATGTAGGATTTCACTGCATAGCCATTAAGCAGCTGCTTGTCCTCTTGCACAGTAGGATTAAATGAGACATCTTTCACCATACGTGTGCTACTGAAAAATTTCAATCCCCCATGTAGCTGGCAATAGGGAGAAAATCCAAAGCATAACCACAGAGTGCAGCTGAATGCTGATGATAGCAAAAACCAGCGTGTGAATGACCTTTGCAAATGTGTAATAAATGTAGTTATGAAAAATTAAATTAAACTTTTACCAGAGCTACTTAGCTCTTCCATTTTATACTTTATATTACTTGTCATAAGGTTTGAAAAAGCTAAATGACTTCAACCTTTGCTATTTAAAATGAGCATTGATTTTTTTTTTTTCTCTCCTGTGTTTTGAAAAGAGCCAAATCCAATGTTAATGGTTTTGTCCAGGAGGTTGTAATGGCACAGTTGYAAAGCGAGCTCTTCTCAGATTGCATCCCAAAATTGTGTCTTTACTCTTYTGAAAACAAAGAAGAGGAGATACTGTTATAGTTTCACCTCCACCTGTTGCTGTATTACTCATGGACAAGTTGGAAGCTTCTGCCAAGATCTCTTAGAGTCCTTCAAGTGGTTCTGTGTAGCATGTGCACTTTGAAGTTCCTATTGCTCGTGTGGAATGTCTGTACTTGATGTTTTAGACATGTCTTAACATATAAATTACCTGATTTCAGGTACAAGTCATTTCAGCTRCGTTTCAAAGGGATTGCTGCCAGCCACATTTAACCCTGCTGGGCTGAGATTAAACTTCAAGCTGTATSTTTGCAT